TGGGCGTCTAAAAAGGAGAAGAAACATGGAACAGACAACGATGGTCGTACGCAGATTCCTTTTGCGAAGTCATTCCATGCGGTCCGCATCGATCACTTCGAGCCTGTTACGTACGCCCTCCACATAGAAAGATTCACATAGAGAAACAACGACGAATCTTTAGCCAGGGGGAGGGGTGCATGTGACTAACCAGACTCATACTGGTAAAGGCAGAAGAAAAAGCAAACGGCCACTATCAACTATTGGTAACCATACTCCGGTAGCTGGCAAAGGGCAACAGCCGGCCGTGACTTCCAAGATAGCAGATATCAAGAAACAGTAATTCTAGGTGGGAACACCTAGTTTATCCGATCCATACCCGCAGCCAAGTAAAAGCTCTAGTCTGGTATAAAGACCTTAGACAAATAGAGAAAGGGAGAGAATCCATTTGGGTGTCTTGCTGACGGAAGCCGGCAGCTTCGAGGAAGGCGACTTTCCCTGGGCAGTCGTCCATGGAGTCTTCGCCACCAGGACTAGCCACCATATCCAACCAGTCCTTGAGGAGAACACCATTGCAGCTCGAAATAATCTTGTGTCGAACCAGCGCCGCTATTGCCATCAAAGAACGTGGAGAAGATCAACAATAAGGACGACATCCGACATACTGCGATGTTTGTGGACGCAGTATCCGTGATCTCCATGCTCCTGAAATTTGTTCAGCTGTAGGAACCATCCGTTCAGAGCGTAGCGACCAATAGCATACGTCGGAGAAAGTAGTGATGCAATATAAATGTGTTAATCGAGCCAACCAAAGCTAAAGTGAACTCATGCATAACCAAGGACCAATATCCTCAAATAATACAATTGGATAACAAGTGAAAATCAAGCATTCAAACATGCATTGAAATATATTTAAACCAACCGAATCAATAGACAAAGTGCGAATCATGATAAACAATTAGAGAGGACGAATCTCTCCACCAGCCGTTGAAGAAGTCGCATGCCTCTAGCATAATATATATATATTTTGTGTTTAAGTGAATTGATAAACTTAAGAACAGCCATATTTTGGTGCACGTATATTTATATATATATATCCAACATAATATTTTCCCAAAGCCCAGGATCCGGAGCGTCGAGATCTCATCGCCCAGGATTTAAAGAGGGGGTAAGTTTGTCGGACACGGTTCCTTTCTTATAAACATACATATATAAATATTCGTGCAGTATCCTACAATTTTATAGACTACTATAACTTTTGCAGCGGCGAGTATCAGCCTGTAGTTATTTGATAATTGCAAGAGCCCTCTGAGCGACGTTTGTAGTCGTGAATAATCAGTATTTTTCTGATGTGTGCACCTTCATAGGTGATAAATTCGATACTCTCCGCTTAAAACAATAATTGTCAATTAGTTTGATTCCTATATGAAGTAGCCAATATTATGTTATTCAACACCGGCGCACGCCGACCTAAATATTATTTATTAAATTTATAACGTGAAAAAGAATTTGAAAACCATGGTGTGCTAGAACTATAACAAAGGGGGTGTGCTGACGCGAGGAGTGAAGTAGGTCAAGAACAATGACATAACTTTCGACGGACAACCTTGACAATAGGGGATCGTATTGCGCGGCCCGCGACGATCCATTGGCACACGAATGTGTGAAGGGGAGGGAATATGGCCAACACACAGCCCGATCGTATTGCGATCAAGCGACAGCTAAGCTTGTTGGGCAGTGTGGACTGATGACTGACGAACTTGATGACTATTATTATTTTTCCAGGCACTTTTAATATTTATTCTCGTTATGTTGGAGAGGAGAGAGGCTTACCAAGATCCCACGACCCGAATACGACGTAGCTTATGCCGGCAAATGGTGCCAGAATATCGGACGCCTCTCCCTCGGCCCAAGTCCCTGTCAGGACTCAGGCACTAATATGCCCACATAACAACTTCGTCAAATCTTTAAATACGTTTATCTCAAAATGCTATTTTTTGATATGTGTCACTCATCTAGAAAAGAGCTATCGGTAAATTAAAGCGATGAAGCCTTGAATAGACAATTGTAAGGGCTAATTTCCACTCGCATCTAAGGTGCGACTTTAGATACTTGCAAAAAAACCGTATGGTAAACTTGACCACTATAATATAAAAATGGGAACAACTAGTTTGAATTGGCCATTTGAACTATTAAATAGTTACTCCCACAAATTATGTAATCGTAAGTGCTACTATAAAATAGTTTTGCAATTATAAAAAGGGGTGGGATGGTTCCAACCTATAATTACGTCACTGTAGTAATAGTAATAGTTAATTCCTATATTCAATTGCAATAACAAAAAACACATCACTGGAACATAACTATGTTAATAGTGGTTTAACTATTAAATAATAACGAAACCTTGAGCTATGACATATACAACAATTTTAAATAGTAAAGTGATATTTTTATGATACAAGTATCTAGGTGACGAGTAGGGCAAGGTGACGAACTCGTCAAAGTTCCAAATAATTGAAGTCGATTTTTCTTATCGTGTCTAAAATATATTTACCAATAATTGATTAATTCGTAGAATAATTATAGCCGTTACTCGTAGAGTAAAAGGTTACACTAGACTCGTCGGCAAGTATGTAACAGGTAAAAGGAAGCGTTTGCGACCCCATAAAGTATATATTCTTATTCAGGATCTATATCAGGACAGCGGCTACATTTTTATATATCTGGCCTTAATTGGTCCGACCTCTACTCATACCAAAATATGGGTGATGAAATTTTGTCTAGTATTACCGTGCTTAACTCTCTATTTCAATCACTGTAAAGTTCAATTCTCTCAGAACCCGAGAAAGTTTTACAATTTTGCTAACACTAAGCGTAAATCCACCAATTATCCTTCTTCGTTATCTTTTGAAAATATTACAACAACAACAGATCATGCGATAGCCGATATTTTTGTCAAGTTTTTTCAAACGACATATTCTGCTTTACCTCATTCTTGACAGCCTTATTCTTGCACTTATCCAAGTCGAATTAAATATTCTGTTCCACCTTAAACGAAAGCTCTTTGCTTGTTGATTGTCCTGATTGAATTCCTGGCTGCGTGCTTAGATATTGCGCGGAGACCCTATACCAGCCGCTTCTCAAATTATTTACCTTACATTAGAATCTTCACAATTTCTCAATATGTGAAAGGAATCGTTTGTAATTTTTCTCCACAAGAAGGGATGCAATGTGGACGAATGCAATTATAGAGGTATCTCTAAATTGCCAGCGATCCAAAGCTCTTTGAAAATAGTATGACTACCCACTTGCAGCCCCTCTATAGATCAGTTATATCTCCGTGTAAACATGAGCTAATGAACCATAAATCAACAACCACTAACCTTTTGAAACTTACACCATTTTCGGCAAGCCGAAGTTTTTATACCCTTGCAGTTATAAGAAATAATCAATGCTAGTAACACCATGTTAAATTTTTAAGGATTGTTGCTAGCTTAAGTGAAATTTGTGTAAAATTAAATTCGTAATGCTGAAAAGTTATAATATTCTTTATCCCAGAGTAAAAGAATGTACGATCAAAATCAACAAAGCAACATTTTTTAAAAAATAATTATTTCATTATTTTTTTAAACGTTTCTTTGACAGCTATATGTTAGAGTCGTTCGATTTTTTTTTAAATTTAATTCAAAGTTGATACAAATACAAAAAATTGTATTCTCAATGGTATAAAATAATATGTCAAAAAGACCGAAACTATAAATTGTTTCATATTATCTTCCCACCACATTTCCGATCGTTCCTATGGCTGCTTTATGATATAGTCGTCCAAATTTTGATGAAATTAAATTCGAAATTCAGGTCTAATTAAAAAATTTAAAATTATTTCCAAGCGTTAGAGGTTATATGTTAAACAAGAAAGGAAGTTTACTTCGGCAAGCCGAAGTTTGTATACCCTTGCAGTTAGAACTATTAAATTTAATAAGAAATTCTTAAGAATACAAAAAATTATATTCCCAATGGTATAAGACAAGGAGGTTATATGTTAAGAAACACCAAAGATATAATTATACCCGTTACTCGTAGAGTAAAAGGGTATACTAGATTCGTCGGAAAGTATGTAACAGGCAGAAGGAAGCGTTTCCGACCCCACAAAGTATATATATTCGTGATCAGGATCACTAGCCGAGTCGATCTAGCCATGTCCGTCTGTCTGTCCGTCCGGATGAACGCTGAGATCTCGGAAACTATGGTAGCTAGGCTATTGAGGATTGGCGTGCAGATTCCTGAGCTTCTTACGCAGCGCAAGTTTGTTTCAGCACAGTGCCACGCCCACTCTAACGCCCACAAACCGCCCAAAACTGTGGCTCCTACAGTTTTGATGCTAGAATAAAAATTTAACTGAAATGTATTGGTCTCGTCGATACCTATCGATTGATCCAAAAAAAAATTTGCCCATGCCCACTCTAACGCCCATAACGCTTAAATCTGTATACCGCCGGTAGGTGGCGCATTTTAATCTCGCTTTGCTGCTTGCATATCTCCATATAGCTGAGTAACGGGTATCTGATAGTCGAGGTACTCGACTATAGCGTTCTTCCTTGTTTTAAAATATTTTTTTCCGATTATTCCTATTAGAGCTATAAGATATGGTTATCCGATCAGGCTGTTTCCGGCTTATACACTACCTGCCCAAGAAAGAAGAGTTTCGAATTTAATTTTATCAAAATCGGACGACTATATCATATAGCTGCCATAGGAACGATCAGAAAATTGGTGGGAAAATAAAATGAAACAAATTATAGCTTCGGCGTTTTTGACATATTATCTTATACTATTGGGAATATTATTTTTCGTATTCTTAAATTTAATAAATTCAACTGCAAGTGTATACAAACTTTGGCTTGCCGAAGTTAACTTCTTTTATTATTTTGTGTCAAATAGTTCTTTATTTAGGACCACCCTAATGTATATAAATGAAAATTTGTTTATTAGACATCCCAGCGCACTTCAGTGTTATTTTTCAAATATGTCAAAGCAGTTACAAAGAAGTAGCATAAACACCCAACTGATACTCGCTGACCGACAGACCCCTTTAGATTATTGAGCACTTTCTAAACAGTTGTGTGACATGTGTCCACACACTCTACTAAAGTTCTGACTATTCGAAAATTGTTCAAAACCTTAGGACAACAAACTCCAGTACGCCAAAATAAAATGAAATGCTATAGAACATTTTTCAGTATAGTTCTTTATCATCACCAGTAAGAAATACTTTATATCAAGAAAAAATTATTTTAGCGAGGTAAAAATATGGATCGTTACTGGTTAGGTATACAAAATTATTGCAAAAAAAGTATACAATATTACCACAATAAATACCAATAACGTCATATACAAATAATTCTTTCGGAAAAGCTCCTTAAGGGTATAATACATTGGTATTTTGTTCGACTTCTTTTTTTTTAGCGGAATAGTTAAATATCAAATCTTACTTTTTATTGAAAAAAAATTCGTTTTGTATGCTAATTCGCTATCAATTGTCTTGTGGAAGACACGACACAAACACAAAAATCGATCCAAAATATTTTAATAGGCTAAGAAACTTCAGCTTTTGAAAATATTTTGGATGGATTTTTTAAATATTTATTATTTTTTAGACTTAAAAATATGTTTGTTGGCTTAAAAATTACAATTTAAAAAATTAAATTACTTTGTATTTTCGTCGAGATCAAGTGTATATAACCCATTAAATTATTCAAAGTACGATTAAATGGGGATAAAGTGAATGCTTCCGATCGAAAATGTTCTCTGCATAGTTCTTATTCATTGATACGAGTTTCAAGCGAAATAAACTCGAATTACCAGATCAAAAAAAGAGAAAACATAAATAAGGTAAGAGAAGAAATGACAAAATATTGCTTCGAAGAACTCAGTTTGGTAATTTGGTGACGTTGGTTGGCTACATGGTCAAATAATTTTCCTTCCTAACAGACAGTTCAAGACTATAAAAGCGCCACCCACCACAGTCGGAAGTTATAAATGGAAAATAAGCATGGGTACTTATCCACAGACCTTGAAACTGATGTTCCTGTCATGTCTGGCCATCGCGTTATTGGTACCTCCAGGTGCAACTGGAGTCGGCCAAGAAGACATACCAATTTCTGTTGGGCTGCTACATCGCAGCAAGCGGTCCATGACTACAATCTGTGTGAAGATTACGCCAGGTGGTTTAAAGAATGAGCCTTATATATTGTGCCGGGATGATAACTTTGGTGGCGAAAATGGGCAGCAAATTGTGTGGAGGTTAGGAACCAAGGCGGTCAGGGAGAGCCGTTCTATATGTGCCGAGGACCCAACCCAGGACTTTCGCCAGCTATAAACTCGCATTACGCCATACAACATGATTCCGTTCACAACTTTCCGTCGGTTCCCGCCTTTGAAGTCGGGTCAACTCCTCAGCAGGCAGTCTCAGAAGATCACATTCAACAGGAGCAGCCAGCAGGTTCGACATCATATCAGAAGAAGCCCCACCATCCCCCTCTTCCTCAGCAGCAACAGCCCCACGCCCATTACAGATTCTACGGAAACCACTTGGCTGCCCCTTCGTCTGCACCTTCAGCGCCGTCGTATGGCTTGCCAACATTTTCTCAACCAATTGTGGACAGCCCGCCAGCAGCTTCACCAGGAATTTCAACTGGACCTGGCGCAGCGGCCACGACCCATTCACATAGTTCTGCGGAACCTACAAGGTCGTCGAACCACCCAAACAATAAGGAAATGGTCGGGCATCAATTTAATTGCAAAAGCGATGTGCTGGCCGTGCCGACTTTGCGGTTTCAGCAGGACGAGCTCAACCAAGAACTGTGCAGACCAGAAAACCAGCCGTATCCTGAGGATCAGTTGATGTGGGTATCTCTGTCACATACGCAGGGACCCGAAAATGATCCGGTTATGAAAGCTTTTTACAGAAGTTTTACAAGCGCGGAAGCCATGGCACCAGCTGATAACAAACCGGCATCTGTTCCTTTAGAACCGATAAGTAAAATGGCGTCTGGATACAGTGCTTTCGATAGTCAATACCCAGGAGCTTCAGCTCGAGAAACGCTGTCATCTCCTCCTTCAACATACTCTCAAGTTAAGCTTTCACCTGCCCCCAACCAACACTGCAGTGGACATAGTGCCTCTGTACCCCCTTTTCAATGCCTAACGCAGCGGAATGTCGGTTTGAGCCTCAAAACCTCCTGTCCAAATTTCCAGCCAGTTATTATAACCATGCCTTGCTACGGGCAACGGCAGCCGACACCCTACGTTGCTATGCCGAGAACCCCACCTGGAACAGTTAGAAGTCAAACCAAGGCCATTCCCTTTGGTCTTGATAAGGGTCCTGTGGTAAGTCCTTTCGGAGGTGGCTTTGGGTTGGGTACCCAGTTTGGAAGTCTCTTTGGAATGAATCCTCAGACAGGAACCCAGGAATATGACATGGAACACCAGGTGGGTGGTCCATTCGGCATTGGAAGGCAATTTGGCATGGGTTTAAACCCTTTTGGCCCATTTGGAGCCACTAACCCTTTTAATCCCTTTAACAGAATCCTAGGAGCGCCGGCTTCCAATGTTCCAGCGCCCAATCTCTTTCAGCAGGTACTCAAATTTAAGCAGAGCGATGAAATCAGTTCGACCACAGAAGCAGCACCGCACTCTAAAGCGTACACCGAAAGATCAGAGAAGCTGAACTATTCTAATAGCACTCCGACGCCTTTCACCTCAGAGCACCCCAATCCCGTTTTTGGCACGCACCAGGAAAGTTCCGAGGATGAAGACTCTCATGAAGATAAAAAGGCGGTGACCACATCCATCCCAGCATCAGAGGCCGTAGACTCCGCCCCTGAGATTTCGGACATCCTAAGCAAGGCCGCCAGTCTTCTAAAGCCCGATAAACGCAAGCGGCTCAACAACCGCTCCATCGGCCGCGTCTCACAAAGTCACAAATACTTGCAGCAGTTGTAGCCCCTTTATTTGAAAATGATTAAAGTTTAATTTATCTTAAAAAAAGGTATTTAATTTTCGTTGGAAATTATGTAAAGTATTATATTCTTGACTAGAATCACCAGCGGAGACCGGTCTGCCTGTCCGTTACTCATAGAAATCATGATCAAGCATACAGATTCTAAGGACTCCAACTCAGCGCTAGTTTGATTCGGCCGAGAGGCACGCCTACTCTAAGGCAAACAAAAGACAATATCGCTTAAGTTGTCTTGCGCCTTAATCTTTGAAGATTTTTGTTAAAGTATGAATTAGATTACAGGTTGTTTATCAATAAAATGCGACCGACACATCGAATTGAAGATTTGATTTATTAAATAGTTACTACTACGTAAATTGTTTATGTAAGGGTTACTATAAAAAATAATTATATAACTATAAAAAAGGGATTGTACTCAAAAAACAATTTTTATAGTTATCAAACCCATAATATCTAGTTAGCCAACTATTTGTATGCCTTATTAAACCATCAATAGACGAGTGGATCGAGCCATGTCCGTCTGTCTGTCCGTCCGTCTGTCCGTCTCTACGCAATCTTGTCTCTCAGTTTTAAAGCTTTTATGCTAGTACTCTGATTGGCTAATTCGAAAAATCGTATTCTATGTAGTGTGACCGAAGATTTCAACGCTCACCCGCTATGAATGTAGCATGGTCTTACTGTCAAGCAGCTGGGTCTGTTGCCATCGAAAAACAAATCAATTGATGCAATTTAAAAAAGAAGAGTCTGCTGGGGCACAAAGAAATTAAAATTAAAATTAAAATAAATGGAATGTTCAACGAATGTTTTTAAACCCATGCAGAGGGTATCATGATTTCAGTCAGAAGTTTGCAACGCAGTGAAGAAGGCGTTTCCGACCCCATAAAAAAATCAGCATCACTAGACGAGTCGATCTAGCCATGTCCGTCTGTCCGTTTGCCCGTCTCTCCGTCTGGCCGTCTGTCCGTCTGTTTCTACGCAAACTAGTCTCTCATTTCTCTCTCTATTGGCTGAAACTTGCCTAAAAGTCTTCTTTCCTTTTCAGGTAGTATATAAGTCGGAACAAGCCGGATCGGACAACTATATCTTATAGCTCCCATAGGAATTATCGGAAAAATTTTTTTTTAATATTATCTTTGGTGTTTTTTTATACATATAACCTCCTACGCTTGGAAATAACATATTTTAATTTGTTCAGAATTTTGAATTTAATTTTATCAAAATCGGACGATCAAATCTTATAACTGCTATAGGAACGATCGGAAAATTGGTGGGAAAATAATACGAAAAAAAAAGTTAACTTCCTTTCTTGTTATTTATGTAAATTACTAGTTAAAGCTTCCTTCTGGTCCGACGGATGCTTTGCCATCTTTCCCGCGCCATCTGTAATACAGCTCCGAATCCCTATAGGCATATTGGACCTTGGGGAAGCCGGATTGAGAACTGGGTTGTTCCGCCTCCTGGCAATGGCACCTCCAGTTGTCACTTAGCGGGCGCCCTTTTTCACCACCTTATAGAACCCGGTGCGTCCTCCATCTCCGCTTTAGCTGCCAAATAGCTGGTGGAGGTGGAGTCCTATGGGTCCCCAATGGAGAGCTGCTAAAAAAAAATACATCTATTTGTACAGCGTAACCAAGTTTTTTGGACAGAACTTACTTTTTTTGCGAAGATACGTCTGGCAGGATCGTGCTAACGGTTTTCATCGAAATTCCCACGCTAAATCTGGTATTTGTCTGGTATTTCCTTAGCTCATCTGAGTACAACGCTCAAAGACCCGACGAAATGTGTAAGCCGCGTAATTGCTTCTTGCTCACTCCTATGGTTAGCTCGCGGCTTTTGTTGATGTGAGTACTAGGCTTTCGGGATGATATAAGGGATATAAGTCGGAACGAGCCGGTTCAGATCAGTATTTCCTAAAGCTATAATAGGGAAATTCGAGTAAGAACTTCGACATGTAAACTTCTACTCATAGGATTATTATTATTGGATTCGGACGGCAGTATCACATAGCTGCCATAGAATCGATCGAATAAATAATGGTAAAATCATTGGGAAAACAATTATAGCTTTGTTATTTAAATAATATTTTCTTCTACTCCTGTATATACCGTATTTTCATTATCTTTTCGTCGTGCGGTTTTCTATGAGAGTCTTCCACCCGGCCAAACTGTTAATAAGGAATAATATTTAAAGCCTAGTACTCAGATCGGCTAAGAGTTTCACTAGTCGAAAAATCTTATTCTTTGTACCGAAGTTTTCATAGTTCACCCGCAACGCATGTAGCATGGTCTTACTGTCAAGCTGCTGGGCTTGTTACCAAACGGAAAACAAATCAATTGGAGCAATTTTAAAAAGAAGGGTCTGCTGGTACACAAAAAAATTTAAATAAAAATAAATGGAATGCTCAAAGAATGTTTTTATTAACGTAAATTAGTAGTTTAAGGCTTCCTTCCCGTCCCACGGATGCATCGCCATCTTTCCCGCGCCACCGCAGTCCAGCTCCGAGTCCCAATAGGGATATTAGAGCTCGAGGAAGTGGGAGCCGGATTGGGAACGGGGTTGATCCGCTGATACTGCAGGAAGTCGCCCAGCATCCTGGCAGTGGCTGGGTATGGCTTCTCCAACTGTTCCTTTAGCGGGCGCCCTATTTTCCTCCTCCCTATAGAAGCCAGCGGGTCCTCCAGCTCCGCTTAAACTGCCAAGTAGTTGGTGGAGGTGGTGTCCGGAATCCAAATGGAGAGGTCGTCAGAGATCGTACTGGTGGTTCTGCTAAAAAGATACTTCTATTAGTACAACGCAACCAAATTCTTTTGGCCAGATCTTACTTTCTTTGCGAGGACGCGCCCGGCAGGATGTCCATGTAGAGATCGAAGTCCCACTCGGCATATTCCTTCCCACTGGGATTCTCTAGTGGATCTCCTCCAGCACTTCAACTTTTCTGCGATTCCCCTTTTCCCCCTTTTGTGGAATTGCTTCCTGTCGGTGAAATCCCACAACAAAGGGAATAAGCTTGGATTTTGCGTCCTATTTCATCAGCACTGACCTCCTGCATCCGATTTTCGGTTTTTCTTTCCATTTTAATTTTTAGTTTCCACATCGCCTTTGCACGAACACCGCCAAAGATTAAATTTCATATTCTTTGGACCGCGGCTAACGGCGTTCATCGAAAATTCACTCACTTAGCTTATCTGAGTACCGCGCTGAAAAACAGACCCGACGAAAACCGTTAGCCGCGTATTTGCCTCTCGCTCACTCCTATGGTTAGCTCGAGGATTTCGTCGATCTGGGTACTAGGCTTAAGCATTATGCGTCGATTGCGTGAAGCAATTCGTCTAAAACAATGGGCCAACAGCTCTTAATTTTTGCATCACGATAATGCACGAGTGAAAGGTAAGCACTCGTTGTTCGTGTCCATTTCGCCAAACATTCAATGCGTGTCGTTCCGCAACCACGGTATTCGCCCGATATTGATCCGTGTGACTTCTTCTCAAAACACAAAAGACCACTTCAGGTAACACGTTTCGAGTCGATTTAGAAAATAAATCGAAGAACGAAAAGGGACTATTGGCATGTTTCGATGACTGCTAAAAAACGTTGGCATAAGTGAATTTTATCGGGAGGGGATTACTTTAATGAAATTTATACACCTTTAGCCCACAGTAATAAACTTTAACTTTTGGTGTTTAGTTTCGTTGTCGTTTATGGTAAATCTATATAAAATTGACGACTATCAGATACCCGTTACTCAGCTAAAGGGACAAAAGGGAAAAGGAGGTATGCAAGCAGCAAAGCGAGACTGAAATGCGCCACCTACCCCTGATAACAATATGTGGACATGTGGGGGGTAGACAGCTTTAAGCGTTATGGGCGTTAGAGTGGGCGTGGCAAACATTTCAGTTAAACATTTTTTTCTAACATGAAATTTGTAGGTGCCACAGGTTTGGGCGGTTTGTGGGCGTAAGAGTGGGCGTGGCAAATTTTTTATCTAGCATGAAAATTGTGGGCGCCACAGGATTGGGCAGTTTGTGGGCATATTCGCGTAACAAACTTGCGCTGCGCTCAAGGCTACGAAATCTAAGTCTGAAATCCCAATTCTCTATTGTTGATATTTTCTCAGGAATCTGCATGCCAAATCTTAATTACCTACCTCTTATAGTTTCCGAGATCTCAGCGTTCATCTGGACGGACAGACAGACGAACAGACGGAAATTGCTAGATCGACTCTGGTAGTGATCCTGATCAAGAATATATATACTTTATGTGGTCGGAAACGCTTCCTTCTACCTGTTATATACTTTCCGACGAATATGGGATACCCTTTTACTCTACGAGTAACGGGTATGATAAACTAAATTCATAGACACGTCACTGTAGAGTGGTAACTTTGTTGAAGACTAAGCTGAAAATCCGATTTAAGTCTCAACTTCTCAGCGTTTTACTTAAGAGTAAAGGGGCACGGGACGCTAAGGCCAGTTGGGAATTTTAAACCAAACATTGGAAAAAACATTTGAAAAGTTGTTGTTGAATACGTTAATGTGAAAGATTTTACGTAAGAGTAACTATTTTTGATAGTAAATTTAGTTTACTATTGCAATAATTTAATACTCCACACCACGCCAGATAGCATCAAATCTTTTACTTTTATTTAATTACTGAATTACTTTTTATGTATAGTCCGATATAAGTCATTTGGCATGGGTTGGATATTGTAACCAAAGAAACGATCAATTAATTAGAGTTTGAGATTAGAAAACGGAAGACAGACAGACAGACAGACAGACAGACAGACAGACAGACAGACAGACAGACAGACAGACAGACAGACAGACAGACAGACAGACAGACAGACAGACAGACCAGACAGACAGACAGACAGACAGACAGACAGACAGACAGACAGACAGACAGACAGACAGACAGACAGAAGACAGACAGACAGACAGACAGACAGACAGACAGACAGACAGACAGACAGACAGACAGACAG